GACGACCCTGAACAGCCGCTGAATGTCGACCCTTAGCAGCCGTCTTCGATTATTCACTCGTCGGATGTAAAAGAGATTTCGCGGAATGATTACAAAACACCGTCGCCAGCACCTCTTAGGCGTTCTAAGCGCCAAAAAGTTATTTCCATATGGTATAAGTCGCCATGGATACAAATGAAAAGGAAAGGTGTTACACGACAACAACCACCACCATTGGACAATCTTTTAGATCCTACTATACACACAGTTTATAAAGAACGGGATGGCTCGTTGTTACAACCAGCACCGTTCGACAATCTTTTTGACCGGTTGCTACACTTGAGTTTTGGACACGGTTATATGCAGATAGTCATGGAGGATAGTTGTCATGTGATGTAAGTAAAATAATTATTTGTTTATTACATAATTCGCTTCTAATAACAATACGTACTTTACTGCAAAAAAATTAATTGGCAGCACATCATGATGTGGATCTCATTGCTGGTAGAGTGTAGAGCGGATGATGCTCAGTGGACGGTTGTGCCGCCAGCTTTCAACACCGATACATTTGACTGGAGTGACATGGCTGACGGATCCGTTTACCCAGCTTGGGCAGAGTGTGATACGGTATAATTTTGTTTGGATTACATTACCTGAGTATTTATATACTAATTAATTATTTCTAATCTTTTTTTTGTAGCTTTACATTCCAATCAATATACCACATGCTCATTGGGTTTTGGGTGCTTTGGATTTGAAGACATTCCAAATGACTATATACAATAGTCATTGGAAGGGCGGCTATTGTTCGAAAAATGAGGATTGGTTTATAGGTATGAGATCCTGCATCCACAAACTGCTAGTGGGAGTCAACTACTGGGGTACCGAACCATCTGATTCAATCCCACTCGAGAGCTTCAAGACGACCCTCGAAAAGGCCCTAGACATACGACAACAGATTGGCAACAGAGGGGGATTGTGGGATATTTTTGTGTTGGTTCCTGGAGGCGTTGATCATCGGGAAATCGATTTCTATATAGGGTAAAACCACTGGTCCATGGGCTATGGGTTATAGAAAACGACTAGCGGAAATATTTTGAGGTACAAGGACAAAGATAATTTGAATATCGTATTTGTAATATGACCCAGACACATATCTTATATTTAGTTTATGTATTTATAAGTTGTTTGTTCATTTTAATTGCATTTTATATTTTATAAACTAAAAGTTATACATTTTATAAAAGCAAAACTTATACATTATACTCCGGAACCATGTATTACAAATGTATCCTGAAACCATGTATTACATATTATAAAAAAAAAAAAAAGGTGTCAAATGTGTTCTGGAAACATGGTTTAGAATCATACTCCGGAATTCCAGAGAACTCTCCGGAACAATATGTTCCGGAGAATGTGGTTACTTTACCAAAAAAAAAAACAAAAATTTGGTCATTTTTGTCAAAAAAAAAAATCGTTTATAAAGGTTATTACTCAATTTCCCATATATAAAAAAAAAGGTTATAATTGAAAATTAATAATAGGAAAAAGTATGAATTCTCTACAGAATATACAACTGAATACAATCACTGATAAAAGAATTAAAAAAAATGAATTTAACGTTAAATTTACAACAAATATCTACGATGCGACTATATACCCTTGTGTTAGTAGTGGAATTGGGCTACGTGAACAAAGTGACGACATCTCTACGGTAACCTCGAACAATCAAAATCCTAGGAATATTCTCCACCAACAAATCCATATACTCCATGTAGAAATAGGCCGGGTGGTTGAGTGGCGGAGGCGGAAGGCTGACAAGCACCACCGCGGCCATTCTGGAGTGGTACATAATGGTAGAGTTCAACTTAAGAGTCGTGTAAAGAAACTTATCGACCTGTTGTTCATTGACAACCACATTCTTCCCATCCGCCATTAACGGCTTCCCTTCCTTCTTCAGCCTCTGTTTGCATCTCTGCCAAGTAATCCTTAATCGCCCGCCCTTGAGCCTTGGTAAACGCCTCCAACGACTCGTCTTGAGTCTGAGACGCGCCGTTGAGATGGTCCCACGAGTTGATTGAATCACAATGACTTCAGCTAGCATTCGAAGATCGTAAAGAAACTTCTTGACGTCAGCTTTAAGCTCCTCCGCATCGGAATCCTCCTCAGCCGCACAAAAAACCTAATCTTGCAGCTCTCGAATATTTGTTTTGTTAGAAGAAGTTGAGATAGAAGCAACATGAGACCCCGTCTCTAACGATCCAATACAAATCGATCGTCCCGTACTGTCGTTGAAATCATTCGGCCATTCATCGAGCCCTTTCACTATCACAACCGCTTTATTAGCAACAATACAATCGTTGATTATCGAAACAAAAGTGGCCGGAATCTGCCTCAGATTCTCCCGACGCCATACTCAGGGTAACGAATCACCACTATATTCGGCTTAAGATTACCAAGCCCCATCGTTTGCACAATCCCCCGGAAACCGTCGGCCATGGTCGGGGCCACGATTATCTCCGCCACACCCTCACACTGTCTGTAGTCGGTGTACGCAGCAAGCTGCTTGCAGGCGCTTTTGGCATTTTCGGCACACTCATAGTAGTCCCCGTCTAGAATGGACACAAATATGGACATCCCCCTGCCTTTTTTCTTCATACAGTTGGCAAAATCAGCAAGCTTCGGATGACAAGGTACGTTTTCCGGTAGCTGACCCCATGGTCGACAGAAAATTAGGGGTATCGGGTACCAGTTTTTAGGATGGACATTGTTGGCTGTAACAAATTAAAAAAATTAAAAAAACAAAGGTTAATATATATATAGATATATATATATATATATATATAGATATATATATATATTATATATAATATATTTGTATAAGAACCAATATTTATATAGACTAGACTAGACGACCACGACCTGACCTCCTAAAGATCGAAGACTACGAAGAGCTAGTTGAAAATAAGCGCTCTTTAAACCGTCTCCCCAGTCACCGGCTTTTCCCTTAATGCTGACATACCAGTATATTACGCTAGCAAGAGCTAGGGACACCACCGTAAATGACCAAGAAATCAGAAACATGATTACTGCATTGACCAAATCATATACAGTTAAATAAAAAAAATCTTTTTTAGAATGGATAAAATGAATATCAGCTTAGAACGGACCGATACATAGACATGCTCCAAATAAAGATGCACTCCAGTGATGAAACTTCCAGCGAGGACGCCAGCTAGGCGCATCTAAGAGATCAAGAAGAAAACATGATAAATTGACACCCGCATAACACAGAAGATAAAACATGGTTATGGTTGGGGAGATGAGGTCCAAATTCCCAATTATGACACACCCAATACACAGTAGTGTTGTAAACAAGGTTGCCACATGAGGTTCACCAGTATCCGGAACCTTAAAGTAGTTAAGAACAGGTAAGATGTTATCATTTGCAATTGCTGCAAGAAGGCGTGGGGCCCCCGTAAGGCTTTGTAGGGCCGCACCTAGAGTTGAAAGTACAATGCCTACGTATATGATTGTTGAAGACGGCCAGGCAATAGTAGCTGTCAGTAATCTGTATAAAAACTTAAAAAGAGTTATTTTAACACAAAAAAAAAAAGAAAAAAGTATAGTATATATTAGCAAACAGTTGTTTGTTACCTGTCTGTATAAAGTTTCTCCCTGGTGGCAACAGATCCAAAAAGGAATACAGATATTATGTACAAGAAAGTAGTGGTGAGTGTTGCGGCCAATGTCCAATAGGAATGGACCGCTGTGTGTCTTTTAATGAAGCTGAACGATTAGACCCCGCCATAATTCCCGTTACAGCAGGGAAAAAAAGCCCTACCAATGCACTTTTTCATGGAAAAAAAAAATTTAACAATATTAAAATGTTGTTGATACTTGATAGTTACGTGATTCTGAAACTTACTTGAAGTTCCAGTATCTTTCACCATCAGGATCAGGTATTCCAGCATCGTTTGTTTTTTGGTAAAAGGAACCCCAATTCTCTCTGAAAGAGTCTGAACTCAACCCAGTGATTCCGGCTAATGTATTAAAAGAAAAAAGAAAAAAAGTAAGGTTGGTTAGTTACAGTTATGGTTTTTGGAGAGGGTTAAGGGTTTGGAAATAGTACTTTCGTTATCCCTGCGTGCGAGAAATATCCCGAGGAAGATGCAGAGGAGAGAGAATATTACAGGTATAAGAAAGGCTGGTGCGACCTTGTTAATCATTTTTACACCACCAAAAACTATAAAAACTAAAATGATTGTAACCACAACCCCATAAATTTGCAAGTCATGTACACTCGGAGTTGTAATTGGTTCTTCAACCCCCGCTTCATTTATTTGTATCACAGTCTCTGTCAAATTTCACAACTATATTTTCAGAGTTTTGTTTTGATTATTTACAAGTTATATAGTACTGTACATAATAATAATAATTACCTCTAAAAATGCCAGCCTTTGGGACAGCACTTAAAAATGTCTCCACTGCTCCCAGGACATACCTACAAAAGGTCAACTATAAGCAACATGATGATGATGATGATGATGATGGATGGTAAGTAAGTAAGTATATATATGCTGACACACATAGAACCGGCAACTGCATTTCCTAGAAAGAAACATAATCCTATGCTCACTCCAACTTCAGGCCCCAAGGCACGACCTATGAGGTAGTAAGGTCCTCCACCCTAAAGGAAAAACAAAACCACAAAAATCAATATCATCATTGGATATTATTATCTATAATATATGTATCTTAAAGGAACCGAGAATATCCACCTTCATCGCACCATTAGTTGCAATTGCACTCAATGATACAGAAGTCAGAATAGTACACAAGCCACATAAGGTAACCAACAATAGGGATTGGCTTATGCCAGCGATGCCAACAATCCTGCCAGGTTTCAGTTCACATTATACTTTCAAGAATATTCATGTTCCTGGTAGAAAGATAAAAGAAGATTCAAAAATTTATGTTATGTACCAAGAAAATCGGATGTAGTAGATGATTCCCAGAATGTTTTGCAAGCATGGAATAAAGACTCCCATCATTGTTCCCAATTTGTGTCCGTTACTAACCTGCACTAAGTAATTCCAAAGGACATGAATAAACGATCGATCAATTGCTTTTGCAACAACATTAATTATTTAATTATGTTTATGATAGCCAACCCAACACTTAGGATGAGAACCTTCAAGTGGCTATTTATTAGTATTATACTGAAACCAGTTTTAGGTTAGGGTAGGCTCAAAACCAGTTGTACCTTTGGAATTTGGTCAGCAACAGAATGATCCTCACCGTTTTTGGGACTACTAGGCACAGAGATCTGCTCTCCTGTCATGCTGAGATGGGAAGCTCAAAACATCAGTCACAAAACAAAAAACAAGTGATTGAACATAAAAAACCAATGTCACCCACAGCAGATATCAAAATCTCCTAAAAGAAAGAACAACATGCAACATAGTTTTGATTTTTCTTTTTCATCAAAAGAGCATATTTCATAGAGCTATGAAACAAATGACAGTTGTGCAAATTTTGTTATAGTATGAGTATCACAGTTTCCCACCATCAGATCAAATACAAATACAGCCACCATTCATTGTAAATTCAGTTAGTAATAATAAAGAACAGTGAAATAAGTATACATACCAAAAGGAATAATTTGTACCTTTTAAGACCAAGGATATTTACAAGAGAATCAAATCCAAATAATTCCAGTTTAGATTCTCCCCGACCACCATTTTCTCCTCCTCGGTCATTACGTGTTGGTTCTTCTCTGGCACCCGTGCTTGTCTGCCTAGTTTTTACTTTCCTGGCATACATAATTTAATATTTCAAGCTATTAGCAAAGCATATACAACATGTTGCCATGTGAAACCCTTTTTACAGTCTACTTAGGTAACTAAAGACTTCAATTAGAGTTTCTTTTAAAAGAAACAACAGTTGAATAGATATAAGGAGAAATGGGATCTCAACTGAACAACACTTCACAAAGTGAGTCTGCCTGATGTGGAAGTGTTCAACACATTATGGAGCATTTATTTTCTAATCTCCTTTTCACTACACCAGTAATGTTTAAGAGAAGATCATGGACTCGAATCACAAAAAATACCTCTTCACAAATCCAATAGAATTATGGTGCCTTTTTTTTTTCTTTCTAAAATAAGTATGGTATACATTTGGGACAGCAATGAGGTTAATTGGGATTGTTCTCACAATATGACAAGAATTTTCAGGCTGCTATTGCGTCTTATATACTGTAAATAGACTCAAAGTACCAAAGTTTACTACATGAGAGCAGTTACCAATATATACTAGCTATGCATATTTTTCGATGTCAAACCTATACAACTTCAGTTTGCTGATTTTCTTCTTTCTTATTCCTTAATTTCTCTAGTCCGGCCCTTAATTGTTCCAAGTAGTATATGAACGTTAAAAACACAGACGAAGACGAGGAGAAGATAAAAGGGAGAAAAACTAACTTCAAGGAAGATGAAGATCCAGGATCAATGGATAACATCTCGAGGACGACAGGATCATTATCATGGGCGACAACTGGGCCGTAGCTCCCACCTCCTTGTCGTGTCGACGACGCCATATCGTCATCGTCAGAACCTTCGATCTCTTGATTCCTCATTCAGTCTCCCGAATCAACAATTAATCAACGGTAACATATATTTGTAAATATGAGGGAGAAAGATGAAGAATCAATCTGATGCCAAAGAGAAATGGCGGTGATTTTGTTTTTACAATGGTCTATTGGAGATAGAATATGTTGATTCACCATTTGAATCAACCATTAATCAAGGGAAGCATGTATTTGTAAATATGAAAGAGAAATGGAATGGTGGTGATTCGGATTTGGTGTGTAGAATCTATCTATCGATGTACAGAGAGAGAAGGAGAAAGGTGTATGGCTGTATGCAGGAGATAGAAACGCCTTTGAAAGAGGAAGACCGGAAGAGAGAGAGGTACATGCGTAGGTATGGAGATGGAGGGAATGAGGTAGGGAGGGTTTGCGTTTTGAATAGACCGAAAAAATAGCTAACTTTTTTATTTATCCAAATTTTAGATTTTATTAAATATTAATGGTGTACTGTAGATTATGAAAATATTCAGGCAGGCCAACAACGTGTATGATATGCATTTACTATTTATTAGTTATTATTTATAGATTCGTTATCCTCCCTCCACATGCTTTTCCAAAGCTACTATACTGTCTACAAAAAGTACGTCAAATAGAATTGGCACGATACGAATCAAGTGGTTTTCAACTTGTCATCATGTATATGTATGTTAATGCTACTATACTGTCTACAAAACTCACCATGTGTATGTATGTTAATGCTTAATTTACAATAAGAGTTGTTAATGATGCACATAAATACAATAATACAATATAATACGGTGATTTCTTTATGGATCATTATTATTAGAAAATACATTTGGAAATATTATATTTTTCATGGTTCCAAAAATAATTAATGATTTATTAAAATTGAAACAAGTCCTTATCATTTGGTGATGTATGCAGAATGCTGAAAGAAACAATAAATACCCTTTAAGAATTTGTTTCTACTAAAACAAGTATTGCAATCTCAAATATCTAGACTGTTTGTGTTCTATGATTTACCTTTTACCTAATGATCATGGGAACATGAAATTACCTATATTTTTTTTTAATTCATCAGCTACGGATATAGGGTCAGATTTAGAAGGAGCATATCAGCAATAGCGATCATACAAAGAATCTCATACCGTAAACAACAAAGTTTTCACATGTATTCATTATATTATATAATGAAATATTTGAATAGTTTATAAATCATATAAGATTCTGCGAGTAACTAACCAACCAATATTAAAAACTAAAAACTAAAAACAAAAAACTAAAAGTTAAAAACAATGCAATAAGTATTATTCAAAAACAGAGTATACAACAATAAGAATATAAGATTAAGACACCAACTTACCTTAATTAACCCTTTTAGTTTTAACATATCTTATGTCGGCTTGTTGCTATTTATTTCCTTACACTCTAAAAAAAAAAAAAAAAAAAAACTAATAAAATGAAGCAAGCCAACTTTCATCTCCCTCCAAATTTGTGAATACAAAAAGAAAAAGAAAAAGAAACGTTGAATTACTGCTGCTGATCTGAACCAATATCACCCCACCGAACCTTGTACTTGGCGGCAAGATAGTGGGAGCAAACAGGACCCCGGCTGCCATACGGATAATACTCAGGCACAATCTTCTTCTCTTCAAGCTCCTTCAGTACAGGACTGAATAAAGACCAGGCTGCATTCAGCTCATCACTCCGTATAAAAAGCCTTCTTTCTCCTTCGATTGCATCCAGAAGAAGTCTCTCATACGCATCAGGAATCTCCTTTGAGTACCTGTTTTGTTTTCCAATATCATCAAAACTCAACAAAAAATTTTTTTTTTTTTTTTTTTTTGTTTTTAAAAAAAGAAGAAAAAAAATTAGCTGGCACCTACCTTGCTGCATAGAGAAGATTAAGATTACTTCGGTCCAATCTCATCCCCAAACCAGGGACTTTGTTGTTGATCTTGAGATATATGGCTTCATCAGGCTGCACACGGATCACAAGCTCATTTGTTGCCAGGTCAAGATCTGTCCCAATATTCTTGTTGTACAGATTACCAGGTACATGTCTAAACTGCACTCGTATCTCAGCCCTGTATATAATATATATGTCATGATTAAAAAGAAAAAAAAAATTATTAACACAAACCAACCTTCGATCATGTAAAGCTTTTCCAGCTTTCATCAAAAAGGGCACTCCATCCCATCTGGCATTATCAATAAAAAGAGCAGCAGCAGCAAAAGTTGGTGTTAGACTGCCAGCTGGCACAGTCTTGTCATCTGTATAAGCCGGGTACTTAACACCCCCTCTTGTGTGACTCTTATACTGTCCTACCACCACATCATCAAGTCGCAAAGGCCTCATGGAACGTAAAACTTTCACCTGTTTTTTTTTTTTTTTTTTTAAATATATATATATACATATACATAGAAAACAATTCATTTTCAATGTTAAAAGTTTTTAAAAAAACAAAACCTTTTCGTTTCTGATATCTTCTGCATCCAAGCTCACAGGGGTTTCCATGGCAAAAATAGCCAACATTTGAAGCAGATGGTTTTGCATAATGTCTCTAATTATTCCATAATTGTCAAAGTATCTAAAAAAGAAGGGAAAATGAGCAAATGTCCCTTGGAAACAACATAAATATATGGAAAAAAAAAATGCTTACCCTCCTCGCCCTTCAGTGCCAAAATCTTCAGCAAATATGAATTGTACGTTTCTTATATATTGTCTTGACCACAAGGGTTCAAAAATTAGGTTGGAAAATCGAAGGACTGAAAGATTCTCCACTAGCTCTTTCCCAAGATAATGATCTATCCTGCAAGATAGTAATCAAAAATCAAAATCTTGTTACAATACACAAAAAAACAAAGGTGTTAGAAAATCACTAAACTTACCTGAAAATTTGATCTTCATCCAAGTATTGCTTGAGGGACCTTGTCAATGCAGCAGAGGATTCAGAATCCCGACCAAATGGCTTTTCCACAATTACCCTTGTCCATCCATTTGCAGAGGATGCAGATGAGCTGGCACATTTGACTGCATCTACAAAAATATTTGGTGGAATTGATAGATAGAACAGGCGATTTGCAACCCTTCCAGCCTACATAAAAATCAGATATTCTCAAATTATAAATCTTGCAAACAGTGTGTGTATCATATTCATATATATATATATATATATATATATATATATATATATATATATATATAACATTACCTCGTGTTCCTTGAGCTTTCTGTCAAGCTCCAAAAAGTTTTCTTCAGAATCATATTGACCAGGATGATAGAAACATCTTTCAAGAAAGTGGTCCATCTTTTCACCGCAGTTCTCCCTAAAAGATGCCATTCAAACATTTATCAAAACCCAAGAAATTTTATCTTTTAAAAAAAAAAAAAAGCATGACAAAGAAATAGTAGTACTAAAAGATGCCTTCACCTTTGATCAATTCTGCATGTAAGTGTCTTGCTGACCATGGTTCTAAGTTCAGCATCACTCATCTTACTTCGTGCATATCCATATATCGTGAAATGCTGTCGACAGTTGGCAAATATAAAACAATTAAATCCAAAATGGTAAATGGGTTGAAATCTTGAATTCAAGGTATGAGAAAAAACACGAACCTCAGGGAGGCAGCCTTCATAAAAAAGCGCAAAAAGTGCAGGAAATATCTTCTTTTTTGCAAGATCACCTGAGGCTCCAACAACTGTTATACTGACACTAGACTTGTCTTTATCAAAATCAAAGCTTGCAATGTCTTTGACTTCTTCTGGGGGTGGTACTGGTACGGATAATATTCCATCTTTCAATATCTTAACAGGACCATCATTTTCAACAGGGGATGTTTTCATGTTTGTAGCACCTATATATATATATATATATATATATATATATATATATATATAAGATTAAGAGCCAAAAATTAAAAACAAAAATTTATGGTGAAAACTTCCAAAAAGAGAAAACATTGGTAATTTTCATGATTAAGCTACCACAGGTACATGACCCTAATCATGACTTGTGGGAATTAATCCGTACGTTTTAAGAAAGTACCAATAGCCTCCCTCATATATTCCCAAATCCCATATCCATGTGTACCCATACGGTCAATGCATATATAAGGGATTCTACAATGGGCTGAAGCACCAAGGCTTCTTAGCTCATCTTTGTGAGATCTCTTGGATTCTACTCTTATACATAGTTTTGATGTTGTTCCTTTAGCTAACAACTTTGTCAACATCCGAACCTCGGATGTTGCATTTTCATGTTGGAAAAAGCATCCCATTTCTTGTCCTGAACAAATTCAATTTTTTTGTTGTATTTCTAATGTAAGTTCAAGATTAGAGACATAGAACAAACATTATAAAGAAGCATGGGCAATTGTGCATACAGTCATAGAAAAAGGTACAAGATTCAAACAGATAGATGGTCATTATGTTTTACTGAATAATTAGAACCAGATAATCAACCCTATTATATTAATGGTTTTTCATCTGCTGAATGTTCTACAAATTCTGATTATTTAAGAGATCAGGGGATATAAGCAATTTTCTCCTGAAATTTCATAATCAAATTTCTTTTGCTAGTATGAAACTGAGTGGTTGATCTTGGAAAAGGTAAATTAACACCAGGGCAACTTGAAATCACACATCACTTCAAACCCCTTGAACTTATAATCAATAGGTCAACCCAAATATAAAATGCTTGCTTAAATAACCCATGAGCACAAATTGAGAATATAGATTTTGTGAAAATAAACGGCAAGAATTAGGTATAACAAGGAAAGGAAACTAACTAACCATCTTGAACATGAACAGCTTTCGAGAGTGAGACCCCGTTGGATGATTGTTGTAGAGACAACTTTCTTGAACGACATCGTTTAGGAAGAATTGAGGATAACGCTATACGTTGTTGAAGCCGATTACTACCATTCATGACGGACGAACTATTCGAATAAGCCGACGACGATGGACAATGTGTCGATGGAGAAAACGTCGCCATGATACTCGTGGACTACACGCACAGTGTATATGAGTTTGTGCGCGTAGATACAGATGCACGGAAGCTATGGATCGGTCGACTTGTGAGTTGAAAATGAGAAGAGGGACGTTAATAAGGAAGTTCGGAGTGGTCGAGATGAAGTCCCTTGATATCTCCGAAAGGCTGCCCTGCCTTTGTCTGTTCGCTTTGCAAGAAGCAACAATATCTTACGTGTACGCCGACTTCTGTTCTCGTCTGACGTCTGGTACATCTGGGCTTCTATTCAGCCTAATTGTTTTAGCGTTTTGGGCTTTATGGGCCGAAACATGTTTGCTCTCTTGGCCGTTAGCAATAGCGGTTACCAATTTTACCATTATATATACTATTAATGGTTAAAAACTTGATGAACAGAAGATTCTTTCATTTTTGCCTATTTGGACACGGAATTTTGTTGGCTTTCTTATTTTGCCGAAACTTCTATTTCTCAGGGGAAACACACAAACCGCCTTACAATTTTGTTATCCTTGTCTTCTATTCTTCTCTTGCGATTTGCCGCCTTCGCTGCCATCCTTCTCTAATTCTCTTTCTCTGTCAACCAGGTTCCAGTTCCTTTCCTTTCACCACTTCATGTGTGGCTCTGCGATTCTTCCTCCACTGCTTCACTTTGTAAGTGATTTTCGTTTCCCATGTCTTCTCGAGAAACAAGTCGTTTTAACACCACTATACCTCGTCTCTTTCTTCTTATCTTTCTTCCTTTCATGGCTTCCCATAGATTTGTGATTCCCTCATTTCATTCAGCAACCTCTCTTTCTCTCTCTTTCTCTCTCTCCCTTTCTACAGTTTAGGGTTTTCGGTTTCTTTCCTCAAGAATTTGAGGTCAGATTCGGTGTTGACGCAGAAAACCCATTTTCTTGACTGTATCAGTTTTGTTCTATCATAGCAATCGAATATCCCATTAACTTAGGGTTTTTATAAATTTTTCGTACCTTGGAGGAGGTTTGAAGCTACATAATGGGTTGAGAGTTTCGTGGGTTCATTAGGTATATCAAAGCAGCCATCACAGAAAGAGTTTATTTCTTGCTTGAGAAATGGATTGATTCTTTGCAACGCCTAGAACCAACGACAGTGTTCGTTGTCTCCATTTGATTAACGCTTGGAGCCGCCCCTTCAATTGAACACAATCGTTATCGCCGTTCAGTTCACCGCGTCTCCTATTGACCGTCGTCGGCCAACATCAAACCAGTTGAACCGTAGACGCCACCGCCTCCGAATTTTCATCTTTTCTGCCTACCGGAGAACACCGAACTCAGTGTTGTGACTTCTCTGCTTCTTACTCGCCGAAACAGTCACCACGACCATCAGACCGTTTCTCGTCTTCCGATTGTCGACGACCATTGCCCAGGTTAGAGGAATCGTCCGCCTTCTACTCCATCCTTTTTTTTTCTTTTTTTTTCTTATTTAAACGTTCTCATCATCAGCGCCCTTAGTGAATTGCTTGAACCCTAACACTCCCCCTTTCAACAGATTGTGTTATGCTTTTTTGGATTTTAATATATCTGGTATAAAATTCTTTTTCTATTTGTTTCTTTTGCAGGTTTCAAAGAATTGAAAGGGACAAGGAAGAGTTTTGTTTCAATATTAGGTTGGTTTAGTGAATTGAAAGACACAGTTTTAGGTTTCATTGAAATTTGATTGTTTATTTTGTTTAATTTTGTTAATGATATCTGTTGCATCTGTTTATTTTAGGGCTTGATTCACTACCCAACTAATCAGTTTGTAACTTAAACTTCCATCTTTGAAATATTTTCTTGCAAATTGGATTTTATGTGTTGCGTTAAATTTTGTTTGACTTTCATTTTGTGATTTTCCAATGGGATTGTACAAGACTACAAGGTTAATATTGACTTTGTGAATAACTTTTCATTTCTTCATAGTAAAATCCCATGGTTCTGCCTATATAATTTTTGCATTTGGAATGCAGAAACAAATTCCTTACAGTGGAGTCAACACTACACAGGGCATTGTAGATATTCCAAGCAGACAAACATCCAAGTCCAAGTGATATGGGTATTGGTAGAGCAAAAGAAGGGTAATTTTTTTTTATAATGGTGTTGTTTGTTTTTGTTGAAATCTTACATTTTTTAGGTGGATTGTACCAGACAAAAGTATAATATTTTTTCATCATTTCATCTAACTTTTTGGTTATGCTGTCTTACACATAACCGAATTAAAGCAAGCAAGAAACAAAAGGAAGCACACGGAGTGTAAGGATTAAACAAAAAAGTTATGATAATTATTTAAACAAACGTCTTAATTGACTTAGAAATGAAATGCAATCAGACGAAAAAAAAGTCTGCAAAAGGGTAAAAATAGGTAATTTGTTGTCATTATATTTTGAAATAGCTAACCAATTTTAGCAATGGAAGTAGGATGCTATATATTTTAATGAACGTACATTGTTATTTTCTGTAGTTGGAGCAACAATCGTTGGTGGAGCAACAACCGTCGGTTGAATCTGTAGTTTTAGGTATGCATTTTCCCCATTTATTTCTAATATTCATTATAAGGCTTCCTAGACTAATATCTTTTATTTTAACAGAAGAAAGAGATAGAAAAATTTCACATTTGTCATTTATATGCAACTTATCTTTGTATATATTGTATATATGTTCATAATATTACTGTGCACCTGAACTTGTATTCGGGGCAACTGAATACACAGCCACAATTGATGTCTGTTCAGTCGGTTCTGTCCTTGCCGAACTCCTACGACAGGTTCGGTTCTTTCTGTGCCTTTTTAACTAAATCAAAAATTAATTACAATTTAAGAAAGTCAATTGCATTTAAACATCAACCTTAATGTTAAACAAAAAAAAATTAATCCATTAATGCCCATTTTACCCCTACTTCTATAAACGTTAACCGAATGTAGTTTTTTCATTTTTTTATCATAACTACATATAGTTTTCATGTTTACAGTTTAAGAAAGTCAATGCCCATTTTACCCCTATTTATAGAAAACAATCCTTTTGTGACTTTCAGATTTTGGTGTTCTTTTCAACCTACGATGATGTCAGTTACCATAATGGGCTTTTTTTAGGCAACCAAAACCATCTAATCTGGTATTATCCACAATTGCAATTACCCGCTCAAAGATTTGGCTATTTGGTAAGTTACAGTTGTCGTTATAATTAGCTTAATGTTTTTTTTTTTGTGTGTGTAGATTATGCATATTGGTTACCAATCTAATGTTTTGTTTAAACCATCAATGTCGGGGTTAGTGTTGAAAATCTTAATCTTACTTTTCAACATATAAAAGATCATTATCTTTTTGGAGATGTTGATGAGCAATGACGAAACTGCTCTTTTATAAATCTCATTTTAGCAAAACGTGTCAAATAGCAATGTACCATATGAAATGAGAAACTGTAAATTTTTAACTGGAGCTCAATAAGAAGATCATGACTTTCGCTCTTTATGCAAACAAGAATAACACATAAAGATGCTTACTTTATAACAAAAGAAAGCTAGAAGTATAAGGAACGTAAAGACAAATGGTTGATATTCATAATTTTTTGTTGATTATAAATAAATCTTGATATGGACATATACTTAGGCCAGACGAACGACACCTTGAGAACGGTGAATATGACATGCCAAATTCAGTAAAACTCCGTCTTGAGACCAGACAGAGAATGGTATGCTTTCTTAACCTTAACCTTTGGTTACCGGTTTTTGACATTAATTTATTATTATTTGATTTAATATTTTGTAGTCACGGAAACTACAAGAAAATGGATGAAAACCGCAATGGTTTTAAACGAGGGTGAAGACGGGACGTCAGAAACCTCATATTAATCTAATTAGATCTTGTGCAGATGGAGATCAGGTTGGTAACTTTTTAACTTTTTCATTATTAGTATTTTTTGGTGCACCAGTTGTTGATTAGTTTTATTGTTTTTTGGTGCAGAGTTGATGCTGTTAAGGTTTATTTCACTACTATTGTGAATTGTTTGTTTGTCAAGATAGGATTGTTAACATCTATGTGAACAAGACGACCATGGAACACTTTCTTCCTTGTCCGTTGAAAGCAAAAGAAAAGATGATTGATCCCAAGTAAAAAAACTCATCTACTATTCGCCAATTGCTCGGAGATAAAGAAACTTCATGCTTGATCATCTTACTTAGGAGATGATTGAACCGATCGAAAGTTTGTATAAGTTTTTCTTCAGGTTTCTGTTCGAAAACTCCAAATTCTGAGAGCAGTAAGGTTTGAATAGAGTGTTCTAGATCTTCATCGGTTGAGTAAAGTTCTTTCAACCTATCTCAGATTTATTTGGCCGTCGTGCATGAACCAACTAACCGAAAAGTGTCAGATTGCAAGGCGAATCTGATCATTCTCATGGCCTTTACATTACACAGCAATTTGTCCTTCTCATCCTGTGGCATCTTGTCTACATCCGCCACCAGCTTGTTATATTCTTTTTGGGTCTTAACAGTCATGTTCGTTCCAGAATGAACAAACGGCCCTAGCGTGATGGCTTCCCAGATGAGATAACCATTATCCTCAGATCCGACCACATAATCTTCAAAGTGATGCGCCCATACTTCATAGTCTTGAGTGTAAAGAATGGGAATCCTGGTAGTGGATCCAATGCTGTTAGAGATGTTGATGGGATTTGTTTGAGAGTCTTCGTGAGACATGGTCAGCCGCTAGAATCAGACCTGTAAACTTGAGATTAGGGTTTTATCAGAAACCAGAGTTACCGTCGACAGGAAGAAGACGGCTTCTATATATTCGATAAAAGCGGAAACCCTAAAGAATTCTTAACACAGAAGGAATGTGTATTGATCACACAGTCTCCTGCTCTGCTCCCACTTGAGTAAACACTCATTGCTTGCAAAAGGTTTGAAAAGCTTCTTTAAAGGAGGGACTGCAGCTTTTATGACACTTTTTAAAAAGTGTCATTTTTATGTTCAGCACATGTGTAGCATTCATGACACTTTTCAGAAAGTGTCATCTTTCTGCCCAGCACATGTATGAACTCGAAAATTGCCTTTTTGTCTTCAAAAAATGGCTCCAACTTCATTTCTTGTTACATCTTTGTACAAATAAATTATTTCTAAAAACTAATCTGTTGCTTTACAAAAATAAACAAGAAAAACTAATATATTTAATTATTACATACCATATGAATAAATAAATTATTACAACCATTTTTACAACAAAAACAACAAACACAACAACATAACAACACATTGGTCATTGACTAGTTTATGCACATCATACATCAACATATACATAAAACAAACTTTGTTTTTCTAAGACAACTTTAAATGACAAAAGATGCATGAAACTTTTGTTACATAAAAAAAATAACATATATAAAGTTGTCATAGAAAATATGTATGAACTTATTTTTTTATAAAAAAACAAGTTATCCATATTCTCCAAAAACTAAGATTTCCAAAAATCAAAAATCTAACCAAACTTGCAAGATGGCTCTGATACCAATTGTTGGGTTTTAGTTCAAAAATAGTTTCACAAACAAGAAAAAAAAAATGGCAACGGAAGACTTTTTATTTTTGAAATAACATAAACATTTTATACCCACCAAGGATCTTCTTGCAAGTTGTGGAAAGATTAAAACACCAATCATAGAAAGGATGAAGAAATAACAACCTTTGTAGTTCTTTGGGTCCTCTCGGGAGGCTTGGAAGTTGATGAAGAATGTTGAACTTTTGATACACCAACAATGACTCAACTTGATGTAGATGCTAGTCCAAAACTCTTAAACTCCTAAGCTTTAAGTTCATAACCAATATGAACTTAAAGAAGGCATGAAGATGCAAGTAACTTCAAGAAAAGAAGAACAAAAAAGGGAGAGAGTAACATGCTCTAAACATGTTACGGTTTTAGGGAAGAAGAATGGAGTACCTCTTCAAGAGTGGAAACCTCATATTTATAATGTCTTAAAGTGAAGTCTTTACCCATTAAGTACTTCCATTTTAGACAATCTTGTCCCCTAAAGCATACTTGTCCCCATGCTTTTAAAGTTATGTATACTTTTGATTAAATTAATCAAAGTATCAAATCATGTCCCTTAAAGTATAATTTCGAAATTTATATACAAAAGGAGAAGAAGATTGTATATTTTATAAAACCCAAGTTTATAAAATATAAACCTTAACATTTAGGTAAAAGACAAAAAGTCATTTTGGTCCAAAATGTTGTACATGACTTAATAAATCATACCATATGATATATTATGTTACTTGCTAATGAAAAATAAATATTTCCTAGAAATAAATAATTCCCAATTTAATTATAAGAGTTTTATTGAATATTTATTAAAATCAATTTCTAATAAATAATAAATTGTATCAAGTTGTTGTTAGTGTGACCCATTAGTATCATATGTTATTTAGCAATATCACTTTAATATGACTCTTGAGCATACTAGATCTTTCATTTGAACACCCGTGATGTGAATACTTTTAAAAGTTTTTTTTTTGAAACTCTAGTTTTTGGTATCACTTATAAACTCTGATATTTTTCCTAGTAATTAAGTATTAAATGTTTATGAAAAGTACGGGTTATTACATTAAGTATCATTTATATTTAAAATATGACATTTATGATCAATTTATTAAGGTAATTACCCATTATATATGACTAAATATGACAATATCAAGATCTATTTTTTTTATCACACATCGTTTTCCTCTATCCCTGTCCGTCCTTGCAACTCCGACGATTGTGCCACTGTCGTACAACCGATCGTCGCCGTCGGACGTCCACTGCCTTCGCTCACCAACCTCTAACTACAATCGTTTCTCCATTTCATCATATTCTTCCGACTTGATTTTGAAAGGTAAAATCAGGGTTTTGGAGCAAAGCTATTTCCACCTGTGCCGTTTTCGATATGCTGCTCTGATCTTTGGAGGTAAGTCGTTGGCAGTGATTGGCGAGGGTTATTCAGACGCAAACAAATTTCGACTTACTGGTGAAATGTGGCGATGATTAGTCGTGGTCACCAAAAAAGACAATGAGAAGAGGAGAAGATAAGAGGCAGAGAGATGATTTAAAGTGTAACCGGTAAAGAAATAGGTAGTGGGGTGGGGTCCGGTGTGTTATTTTCTGTTTTTAATTAACGAAAGACAAAATTGCAAAAATGGTCCCCGTGGTTGTAAAAAAATTTGTAGTTTTGGTCCAAAAATATTTGGTGGTGTATCAATAGTCCAATTTTGGATCTTTTTAGTGATTTTGGTCCATCTACACTTAAAAAGACAAATATGCCCTTATAATTTATATTTTCCATTTTATTTAATTGCTGAAATACATAATTCAGTTTAATTTATTTTTGTTAACTTAAAACAAAAAAATAACCCAACCCCCTCTTAACTTTATAGAGGAGAGAAGCCCATTTATCACCACTTCCACCCTCCATCACCGGTGACGGGAACCACCACCGACGGTCACAATTCTCACCGGAAAACATAAACCCTTCATCTCCCTCGCATGGATGCTCTGATAAACTATACCACATGACGAACCACCACTACAAAACTAGTTTCATCAGCAATTAGATCTATTAAAAGCGACTTCCACCTACCTCATCTCTCTTTTTCTTTGATGAACCGTCTCGTCGATTTAGGAACCCGGGGGGGGGGGGACATATGCATGTGGCAACGAAGAAAGCAAACAGAGGTGGCACTAGAGAAAGCAGACGGAGGCAAACGATGCAAGTGGAAATGAAAAGGAAGGCAGCGACGACGTTGGAGCGTCAATCTAGGAACCAAAACAAGCGAAGGTTCGTCCGACGGTGGCAGGAGACGCAAATGGCGACGAAGGGGAAGGTTCTGACGTCGTTTCTACCTCCACATGAACCACCAGATTTGCATTTTGCCACTGGATATCCGCCATCAACGACCTCCTTATGCCACGATCTGAAACCATTGGGCCCCTTCTCGCCGTCAGATCTAAGGTAGCGGAGTCGTCGTACATGTATATTGTTGTGGATCTCGCAAAGAAAGCCGCCACCGGAGCTAGGGTAACAGAGTCGTCGCCGGCGTGGTGGTGATGGTGGTCTTATTTTAGGGTGTGGTGGGGCGTGACTTAATTGGAATGGGTGGTCCAGAGAGAGAGAGAGAGAGAGAGAGAGAGAGAGAGAGAGAGAGAGAGAGAGAGAGAGAGAGAGAGAGAGAGAGAGAGAGGTGTAGTATTTTCTTTTATTTTAATAAAGTAATAACAAATTAATTAAAAGAAATTAAAAAAGAATTACATAAGGGCATGATCGTCTTTTCAAATTGGGTGTGGACCAAAACCACACATAAATGTTAATAATAAGGACCAAAACCACACAAGGCATCCAAAATTTGACAACTGATGCACCACCAAACTTTTTTGGACCTAACCAATAATTTTGGGACCATTTTTTGCAATTTTGTCTTAACTAAATTACAACTAAATAAAAATAAAAATAATAAGAATAAATAAGTCATTTTATATGGGTAATAGATCAACTAAGATAAAAATTACCTTAGATAAAACAGAAAAAAAATTAAAAAATAAACTTAATCTTTTGAAAAACCACAAAGATTATTTATAAATAAGAAATCAAATATCCTTCTATTTTTTATTTTTATAATTTCTTCCACTTAAGATTATAAGGTTTGTCATATTTAATAGAATTAATTAAATTATCATTTATAGGAGGATGGATAAATATAAAAATTAGAAAAATATTTATTATTATTATAATTAATAATATTATTATTAATTTTGTCTATCTCTAAGTTAAGTGTTGAATATTTGAAATAGGTCAATGCGACCACAGCACCAACGGTGCAACGAATATTCCAGAAAAACAAAACGCATCCTCCCGCCACAGCCAAACATACCTACCACCTCAACAATCAACATTTTACATTTCAATCAACCACTTAAAATTCTCCACGTGTCCGCCACATAACCAGACTCGAAAAATATGTCCACTTGTCTACCCGGCTTATGTTAGCGTACATCCTCGAACGATTAAATGACGAGATAAAGCCACGTGTCCAATTCCTCCCGCGTCGTCGATCTATCCGTTAACCCTAATCTCTCTCTCACCTCCCATCCCTCTTGTTTCTCTGCAACTCCTCCATTCAAGAAAAATTAGGGAAAGTTACAATTCTTGAAACCGAAAGATTTCCTTGATCTTTTGATTAAATTCATCTCGTTTTGATAAAAATGGGGAAGCTCATATGTGATTCAACCACTTCTTCTCCGGTAATCCCATGGAAAGATCCAACTGCAGCTCCACCATCCATCGATACCATCGCCGCCGTCGATTTATCAGAGGAGATGCTCGCCGCCACCACCACGACCTGGGATGACGTGTCGGGGTTAGAAGACCAGCAGAAAAGGCACCTACAGAGGCTTCACGCCAAGGGAGTCCTTTGGAAACATCCAGGGAATAAAATCCTTAATCAATGTCAAGAAGACGATTCTACGTCCCCAGCGGCGGTGGTTTTCAGGCTGAGTCACGGCGGAGATGTCGAGGCGGATGGAAATTGTTTGTTTACTGCATCGCAAAAGGCGATGGGGCTGACGGAGATCAACGCCAAAGATCTACGGAGGCGGACGGTGAGAAGGTTCTTGGAAGATCTTGGATCTGAGAGTGGGGTGCAGAGAGAAAACATAGACGCGGCGATTAAGCATATGTATGTGCCAGATCTAAGATCTGGTTGGGGTATACACGTGGTTCAAGAGGTGAAATTTCTTGCGAAGAAGACAGATCGTGAGTCTCTAGATTCAGCTATCGAGGAGCTCGTTAATCTCGGTATGCAGAGGTATAAAAAACTTTTTTATTTCTTGTAATAAATACATGTGATTCATCAATTAGTCCTAGATTGCCCAATATCCGGAATCAGTTCGAATTACAAAGATTTATAACCCAGATATCTCAGATCCAAGCTGCGTGAAAATTGATTGATACAATTGTACAGAAAGAATCGTATCTTTCAGAACGAGGGTCATTTTCATCTTCTAAACCCAAAAATCGTAGATCTATCGAGCTGACCATAATAATGTTTTCTGAAAATTGATTGATTGATTGATTGTGTTTGTACTACATACGTAGGGAATTGGGTGCGGAATCTATTTATAAAGAGAGATGCATTGGTGTAGAGAATGGTGAAAACTGGGCCAAGTATATGTCGATATCTGGATCTCCAGATGATGAGTATGACATCATCACTTTGCAATACACAGAGGAAGGTTTATTAAGTGTAGATGAGAACAGAGAAGGACACGCTGCAGCTTTTGGTGATGATATAGCAATTGAATCTCTTGCTACTGAATTCAAAAGAGAAATTTATGTGGTGCGGTTTGCTTAGAAATTCATTTTATGGGCATTTGATTTGGATAATAATAGAATTACAATTACAACAGGTGCAAGCACATGGATCAGACGCCATGGTTGATGAAGATAATTGTGTGTTTTTCCTGCCACATCGTCCTAGAAGTGAAATATGTGGACCTCCCTTTTTTCTCTTCATGAAAGGAACAGGTAAGAAAACATTATGATATGATGTAAATGCAGCAGCAATGGATGTTGAAAGAAAGTTTCAATTACTCATGACAGGTTGGTGTGGAGCTGGTGGTGATCACTATGAGCCCTTAATTGCTCATTCATCTTCTGTGGTATCTCATTCCCATGAGAAAGTTGCATTGGTGCTGTGATGCCCATGGATTTTTGCAGTTTTGTTGGGGAGATGATAGAAATAGGTGCCCAATTCTTTTCCAAAATTTTTGCTGCTGTGGATGACTGTTCATCACATGGCGCCCAATTATCTCAAGTCAGGAAAACCTTTTATGAAATTTTGGTAAGTGTAGTTGTAGTAGTAGTAGTAGTTTTTATCACCGGCTTTTTTCTTTTTCATTTTTGGGTTTTTGATGATGATTTTGTTGTTGTTGTTGTTGAGTCATATCTGAGGAGAGGGGTATAGAATGAATTGTTTGTGGTTGATTGAGGGAGTTGTTATTAGATTTGTATTGTTATTGTTTTGGTTGGTACACTGAGAAATGAGAATGGTACCAGTTTGTTGTACTAGTAAACCAAATGCCAGACTTGCACTTACTTTAATGCCAAGACACCGGCTTCTCCTTTAATCTTTGTGGTGGAACTCCTTAATTTTCACTCTCCCCTTTCATTTCTCTACCTAGGCCTAGGCCTAGGCCTGCATCATGCTTCCAACTTGTTTTTTACTTGATCCGAATTCTCAAATATAAAAATATGAAAAGATTTGAGCAAATACTGCTATAACTTAGCATTTGGTGCGTGTGGAACATTCCAAGAACTAGATTGATTATATATCAACGTAGCAATTCATAAACACAAAAAATGTTCCATTAAATTATTAGAATCTTCTCAATATTTTTTAAAGCATGAATTATAAATTTTGATTACAGAAACACAGACAGAAAGTATATGGGTAATTGGTGACAAAACATAGTCGACAAAAATTATAATTATATTTTTATGGTAGGTATTGGCACGAGCATGGTGTTTCATCCTCTACACCACGACCAATTAGAAAGGGAGCTGTCTATCTTCCTCTTTTCTTTCTCTCTTCCACGATCGTGGCTATGTGGGGAATTCTCCATTTACCTTGTAGTGGTGATTTAGGCAGAGTTGAAAGAAACCATGCCCGTTTGGTTTGGTGGGGGGAGGGGGTTATGGTCTAATGTGGTGAGTGTTAATTTGGTGGGACCTAACAAGGATAATTTGGTGTTATTTTAGTGATGAAAAGATATAACTAAAATGGATATGAAAATATACATGGTTGTTACAATCGACAATACAAAGAAGAATATAAGATGATGAATTATATTAATCTAATGATTAAAAGGATTATATTATTTTTTTATTAATTTTTTTTTTTTTTTTTTACTTGGTGTCATCTAGCTTACACAAATTCTTTATTTCATTTTCTTTCTTTGCAACTTACAACAATTGAAAATTCATCTTCCACAACCCATAACAATTTAAGTTTAAGTTTAATACAAATAGAGAGAAGAAAGATGAGTGCATAAGCACATGAGTACCCAACCTGCTCAACCCACAAAAACCATGGTACTAACCACCACAGAACGATGGCTCCAACGATACCGCATTAAACATGCATCTCCTCTTGCACGGTTCGTGTACCCTTAAAGCAAAATCCCAACATCTTGACTTGTTCACGTTGTCTAAATTCAAAATTGGTATTAGTGTCTGATTTTTCAATTTTAAATTACCACTCAATTTTTTTTTTCCTTTTTATTGTTTCAAACATGCAATCGTTTATAATTGATAATTTGATATTGATCGTTTATATATAATAAACAGTGAAACATTTTTTTCTTGAAGTAAATTAAAGGAATGGTCCAATGATTGTGGTAATTTGTGCTTTTGTTTTTAATTTCTTTTTTAACTCGGATGTTTGAACTCTAATCTTTTTTCTACCTCTACGAGTATATGATTTGGAACCCAGGTCACCAGATAAGAAACATGAGAGGATTGAACTTGATGTGAGAGGATTGTATAGGTTACGATTTGAAGCCGATATCATTAGAGTAGAACGGCAAGATGATCGAAAGTGGGGACAAAGAAAGCTTATCGAAGAAGAAGAAGATGAAAGAGCCGTCAAAATTGAAGTGGGTGGTACAAGTAACAGTAGATTAAGGATTTTTAGTGTCTCATAAAATGATGGGGATAAAAAAGATTTCAGAAGGAAGAAAAATGATAAGGCAAAATGATAAGGCTAAAGGGAGTGGTAATATGTTTAACATCTTGCCACATTATAATTTTTCATTCCATATCATATTTTTTGAAGCCACGTAGGCTAGAGGGAATACTAGCATCAAAGTTGGAAAAAGGTAGGGAGTGGTGGTGTTTTATTTTAATAAGGTTTATTTATAAAAAAAAGAAAAAGAAAAGGAAAAGGAAAGAGCCAATCAGATTCCAGCTCTTCATTATCTCTCATGTCGTTAGCTCCTCAACGAGTTGATGATGGCGAGTCCCTTAGGCTATAAGGAGTGGTAGCATACTTAACACATGCTAATCACATTGTCACATCACATTTTTACCTTTCACCTAAGCTTTTATCATTAAAAAAAATTTACACTTGGATTTTAGAAAAAAAAAGCAATTGAAAAAAACCAATTAAAAGGCCTAATTTAAAATAACAAAAGAAAAAAAAAATGACCGATCACAAGCCTTTATTCTCTTCACCTCTTTCTCTTTCTTCTCGCTAACCAGGCAGCGAGCCTCACCTGGTAAGTTTCTTACAATAGACTTGGCGCCCTTAGCGAGCTGGAAACGAGCTTGGCCAATGAGCCACTCCCTCCAGCCTTAGCGAGCTGGTGGGGATGGTGTAGCATCTCATAGCGAGCCTTTTGGCGAGAGGGAAGGCGAGGTCACTCCCTCAAGCCTAAGTGGCCTATCTTATTTACTTTGTAAAACTAATAACAAATGAATATTATATACATTAAATATTGATAAAAATGAAAAATACTTTTTTATATACAAATAAAGTTTAAAAGATGATAGGATACGACTCAAAAAAAAATGTAACATCCTATTTCGAGAAGTTTTTATTTCAGGATGTTGGACAATAAATAGATCAGGTGAAGGCCTTGAGCTTCAAGGAATAGGGTTTAGACCCCCATTGGTAAAATGGGAAAAACGATGTTTCAGACTTCTTTCACGAATTAAGAGTTTTAGTTCGGTATGTTTTGGGTCAAAAGTAATTAGATAGGATTGTGGGGCTCTTCAATACCTTTCTGCGCATATAAAGAACGCCGAAAACGGTGTTGAAACGAAGAAGTTATGGTTGTTTGAAGTTAAGCTGGAAAAGGAAGGCTGACAGTACGATGGGCGTACACTGGGTAGTACGCTGGGAGTACTAGGCTGAAGGAACGCGTTTTTAGGGTGTTACGTTGGGCGTAACTTTTGGTATGCTGGGCATACCGCCGCAGTCTTAAAACCCTAATTTCATAGTTTTGAGCTCTATTTAAGGTCTCTAACCACGTGGGGATCCTTCCTATCATTAGCCTCCACTCTCTTGAGCCTCTAACTCGAAACCCTAGCCACATCTCACTTATTTTGAGCATTGACATCATTTATGAGCTTAAATCTCCATTAGAAAGTGGGATCTTGAAGAACAAGGTGGTGACAAAGTGTATGGAAGAAGGATTCAAGCATAGATCTAGCAAGATTACATCATTTCTAAACCTTTGTGAGTAAAAAGCTTCAAACTTGCTCATTAGTTTCATAGATCTTGTTAATTTTCATATTTGTCACTTTTTGGTCACTATAGTGCATAAAGTTTAGATCTTGAAAATTTGTGACCTTGTTATGGATAAAGTTGGAAACTTTATCCATCTAAACATCATATTGATTCAGATATGAAGGTTGGAGACGTGGACTCAATGGATTAAGTTGAGAAAGATGCATTTTTGGTCCATTTAAGACTTAAAGACTATATCTTGGTTGTTTGGACCATCCTAATGGATAAAGTTGGAAAGTTTATCCATTATGGAGCTATTAGGAACCATAAAAAATTGATCTTGGTCCTTCTATCCCCTCCATGCAAGAGTTATGATGTCTTAATGGATTATTAAGTTAAGGTTTTAGCTTTTGGACCTTTTCTAGCCATGGAAAGTCAAAAAGGTGGAAACTTTATGACTTAGAGCGATGTTTTGGGTCTAGATCTGAATTTGGATGAAAGGTCTTTAAGGAATAAGTAATTAATAAGAAAATTTGGACCCAAGCGGAGTACGTTGGGCGTACCAAAAGGTACGTTGTGCGTACTAGGTTAAACACCCGTGTTTTTGGCTAAGTATCGACTACGCTCAACGTAGAGACTGAGTACGCGGGGTGTACTCAGTCAGTTTGATCTTCTTTGACTTTTATTGTAACATCCTGTTTCAGATTGTTTGCGATTCAAGACTCGTGGGCCGTAATCTGAATATGAGAAGGTTTCGAGATTTTGAAAAAGATATGTTTAGGTCTTCTTGGATATGGATTGGGTGGATTGTGTGAGAAAGGGGTTTGGTTTGTGCTTTAGGTCCTAAGGGTATCGGCAAGTGTTGGTTTGGACTTTTCATGAATTTTGGATCTGAGTTCGAGTGGGCTCTAGGAGAAATAAAGTTGATTCAAGTGTAGAACTTTTTGCTACCTTTTCATGGATATAAAGTTCGTCGAAAACGGACATTGGGTGAGGAAGATATGACACTTGGAAGTTTTTGGCATAAACGGTCCCTTAAGGAGAAAAGTTGGCATGGAAGGCCATGCATGTGAAATGGAAGCGCGTGGGTACGCCCAACGTAAGGCTGGGTTACGCCCAACGTATAAGGGAAATGGTCGTGGGTGCTCCTTGGCGTACGCCCAACGTACGTCCAGAGTCCAGAAACCCTAAATTTAGGGTGTGCCACTATATAAAGAACATATTGGTTCTAACCCTAGCCTCCTTATCCGTTCCCTTACCCTCAGAAAACCCTAGAACGCCCCATCCCTTCATTCTTGAGTGATTTTCTCCATATGAAGCTCATTTGGTGGTGTAAGCTTGGAAGAAGAAGTTGGAAAGGAAGAACTTGGGAGTTTGGAGCTCATATATCTGGAATGTCCTCATCATTTGGAGCTCTTCTGAGGTATAAAGTTCATAACTTTACTTAAGAATGCATAGATCTTGTGTAGTGAAGTTTTGGAGTTGTTTTGGTCCCAAGTTTGGACCTTTATGTTGGAATCTTGTTTTTGAGCTTAGGGTTGCCACCCTCAGAGCTAAAAGGGTCCCATAAGCAGTAAAGTTTCAATCTTGATGGTCCTAATGAGTTCATGCATGATATCTAGCCCTTGTTATGGAAATATGTTGATGCCTTTTGAGTTTGAGCTTATTTGGTGGATTGCAAGTCACCAAGATTATGACTTTAAGGATTAAGAGGATAATAAGGACCTGGATCTGAATTTGTGACCTCTGGAATGAAGTATTAAGCACTTAATGGAAAAAGGGCTTAACAGGAAGGTTACTCTGAGCGTACGTGCAGGTACGCCCAGCGTACTCGCCATCGAGTCGGTATGCTTAGCGTACGTAGGAGTACTCCCCACGTAACTTGTCTGTATTGGACTTTGTGTTTTGGGCCATGCCTTGGGCAGTTGGGCCATCAATAGTCTGAAGTTATGGGCCAATGATGTATTTGAGCTTGGGGTGAGGCCCATTGGAGGGAGTGGGCCCAGTTTAGCAAAGTGGGCCGTTAGTGGACTTGGGAAGTTTATCTAGTGTTGGTCCCGCCAATTAGATTGAGAATTGGGCCTTGGTGGGTCCAATGGGTTTAGGTCATTATTGGGCTGGTCAGTGGGCTATTATTAGACCTAAAGAGTGAGAGTTGGACTTAGTACCTAATTGGGGTAATTGTGGGCTTTTGCACAGAGTTAGAGAACGAAGTATAGCGGCAGCATTACTAGAGGCTGTTCATCATACGAGGTGAGTCTTCTCAGTATACCTTACCTAGAGTGGTAATTATGTGTGACCGGAAGGTCTTATGTACTATGACGAGTATGTGATACATGTTGTTAGGTGAGATGTATATGTTATGTATGTTATGAGTAGCATGGTATGGACCGGAAGGTCAACAATGTATGGACCGGAAGGTCAGCAGTGTATGGACTGGAAGGTCAATATGGTATGGACCGGAAGGTCGACAGA